ATTATACCGATAAACTCGTTATACCGATGCAAATGGCCGGTGCCACTCGTATCGGTATAAAGAGGTTTGACTGTATACTTCTTCCAAATATGGAATGGGTTTCAACTCAAAGATATTGGGTAAAGAAACGGAAATATTTTTTTTATCAGTCCAGCCTCTCACCATTACTTTCTTGCTAGCATTTGTTGCGCCGATACCAAGATCTTCTACTGCGGGATATTTAGATCCATGCATCCTACTTATATAGAAATCCATTTTTTGGCAAGTGTTTTACTAATACTGTTATACCGAGATTTGGGATCAATAAGTGCTTTAACAGTTTTTTTGCTGTCGATGAATGTACATTGGACGATCATTATTGACTTTGCAAAGTTGTGGCCCGACTATACATATGAGCGCCTTTGCGGAATTGGGGTCCGATCGAATGATGATTCGTTACACAGACTTTTTTTCGAAAAAAAGCTTAAAGGTAAACAAACAACACACATTTTGCTATTAATAAAAGTCGTTGTTTAACACATAAATAAGCCAAATAATAACAAAAGACAGAATAAAACAGTTGTAACAAGCTGTAGAGGAAGGGAAGTAAGTGTTTGTTGAAAACGTAAGGGGGTCGGACAATTGGTTCGACACTGAGACAATTGGTTAGCCAACATATAGTAAATTAGCATAAAGTCATTTTTCAACAAAGTGACTTTTGTGAAATTATGAGTTCTACATATCTAATTATAAGCTTACAGTAAGTTAAAAAGACCATTTTATTAAAAAATTGCGACGAAAGAAAAAGTTAACGAAAAAATTTTTATTGTTTAGATCCGGTTCTTAATCCTGATTGGCTTAATCCAAATCCGATTCGATTCTGATTGGTTCTTTGGGTTGGTCAATCAAATATTGCTAAATTTTGGGTGATTCCCAAAAGGCGCGCATATGAATTGTAATTAACCACGTGTGTCACATGGTTGGATCTGTTAATCATACATAAAGAGGTAACACAAAATCACATGCGGTGGCTTGGTGATCTCACCACGACACGTGTTTTATTTAGCTTTTACGCGTTTTCTCTGCTGTCATTAGACAATGGAATCAGAGGTAGAGCGAATAACGTGTTGTTCGAAGGTTGCAAGTAACATGCTAACCTGATATATATAGATTTCTTCAAACTTGAAAAAATCAAATTATCGGGAACGAAATGAGTCTCTGATGCCTTTCTTCGATTGTTTCGAAGACTGGAAGCTGTTAAACTTTCTAAAGTATGCTGATGCCGTGAAGAGCTTGGGCAACGTAACGGAAACACATCGCAAGTACAGAATTATTCTTGAGGGGATTATTGCTGATGAAAATGAGATTGGAATTAAAAGGAAAAAAGCCGAAAAAGCACGGTTAGATTACGAGGAAAGTACTACATTTTTATGTCTTTAGAGTGAAGTATTTGGTCGAGTCCAATAAGGAACGTTTGGTCGAGTCCGATAATCCTGCCATCGAGTTGGTAGGCACGTTCTAATACTTAGAAGAAAAATGCTAAGACCATTTGAGAAATATCGTGCTAGGTCGAGTCCGAAATACCTCTGTCGAGTCAGGGGGTGCACGCTTCTAGGTTTTTCAAAAAACAAAACAGTATAACGATTTCTTTAATTTTACTAATAAAAACATTTCTTTTAATTTTACTAATAGAATGAAATACGTTCAAACAATATAAAAGAGTTCTGGCATAAGAAAGATAAGCGAAGTCTGATTGATAAATCAGCGATGAAAACTACCCGAAAAATTGTAAAAAAAATTAGTAAGATGCAAGACATAACAAATGATGTCTTGGCTCAAACGATCGAGAATAATTTAAACCGACAACAATCAGGTATGCTTATTATTTTCTTACAGCCCCTACTACTTGTCTTTATTGATTTAGTCAATTTCTAATAGATAGCTCTGATCGAGATAATGACAATAATAATGAGGAAACAACATCAAAATTACCACAGAAAATATGTACAAGCAGAGATCAGACCCTGAAGTCAACGTGTGATAAGCGCTCTTTCGATAACACTTTATATTATGAGGTTACAAACTCAGTTGCCAAGAAGGTCAGTACAGAATTCTCGTAGATAATGTTTAGTCTGCAAAGGTGTCTTTTTAAACCTTTTCTACCTTTGGACGCATGTATAGATTAAGACCAGTAGTGAAGATGAAGTTGCAGGTTATGATTTGGAAAATGAAGATGTTGAATTTGAACAAGACGATGAATTTGGCGTAAAAGACAAGAATCTCTTCCAACAGAGGTATTTTATTTTTATTCTCATGTCCCTATTGTATTGGAATAACTAATCATTGTTAAATTTAGATTCGATGCATTGGAAAACTCAAGAAAATGGAAACTGAAGTCGGGGAGATTCGTTGAGGATGTGCTTTACAAGTTCGGGATGCAATGCCGGTACCATAAGTAAGAGTTGTTATGTTATCCCGTTTGTTTCTTTTGCATTCAAGAAGAAATCACCGATTTTTGTCTTTAGTCTTGTCCACTTATCATCGATCCTGATGATATCTTTATTAAGGAGGAATTCACAGAAGAAGAGATATCCGAAATTGTTAATAGGGAAAATGAACAAGATCTACCGGAAATCGATGATGAGCTCTTTGAATATATAAACACGTTTGCTAGGGTGAGTTTATTTTGGATTAACACTAATTCTTTTAAAAGCTAACAGATTGTCTCTGCAGGACTCTACAAAAGAAATACGAAAAGCTCTTAACGCGCTACATCCCCGATTAGGCGACAATTACAACCCGCAGACGGATTTTATTTATGATCATATAAGGACCACGGTGGCTGATTGGTAAGTAGAAAGGAAAATTTTGTATGCAATAGATTCACAAAGCAATATATTCACAAATCAATCTTATGCAGGGTACGACTTTTCGAAATGCAACCTAATCCGCTAACTCTGGATTTGCCAGAAGCCTGGTACCGCATCAATGTTTGGAGAACAATTGATATAGCGTTTTCCGATATCCCATACACTTACGTTGTTGGGTGAGTAAAGGTATAGCCTGTATATATCATATGTATATAACGTATATATGATATGTATAGTATAAATGTATCATGGATAGGTAGATAAATTTTATTTTTCCTAGATTATTACTTTTTACTAAGACAACTAGGACGGATATATAATATATATAAAAGAACAAGATAAAAATAGATTTAAAAACTTTCTCCTATATCGAATCCGCCCCAGTTAACTTTTTTTTTACTAGGCGAAACCGGGACGAATTTTTTATTAGGACGCGAGCAGATTCATTTTAAACGCAATCTAGTGGTCACCTATTTTTCTGGTATGTTTTCGGGTATGTTATCATGGTAGCTAGACACGAAGTGCCCTGTTTCACAGACTTCAGTAATATTATATAATAAATATGGGAGAAGGCTACCCATTTTGATGGTATGTTTTCGGATAGGTAGACACTTCGTGTCCTGCTCCGCAGACATCAGATTTATTCATAGTTATATACCCGCCTTCTTATATATTTAGTCGAAGTTAACCCACTTTTTTACTACCTATTTTCATGGTATGCCCTCGGGACATACTTCTAGTGCTAACTGGTATAAAAAAGTCTGGCAAACAATATTAGCATACTTTAACATAACGTACTCGATAGCATTTTTTCGATAGCATAGCATGATAACATAGCCTAATAACATATACCCGATAGCATTTACGTGATATACCTAGCATACATATTTGGTAGCATTAATCGATAGCATAACCAGATAGCGTGTATATAGCATACCCGATAGCGATTAGATAGCATTAATTGCCATCAATTACGCAATAAAATCCCGGCAATCGAAATCGGCATAACGTATTCGATAGCATTTTTTTGATAGCATAGCATGATAACATAGCCTGATAACATATACCCGAAAGCATGTGTATAGCAATTACGTGACATAGGTTGCATACATGTTCAGATAGCGTATATGTAATATGCTCGATAGCATGACCCGATTGCATTATTTTTTTATTAAATATTCTACGCGGTATATAAAATGACAACAACGCAAGATCACAAGAGTAAGCTAACTCAAGCTATTGATAATATTATAACGCAAAAGATTGAGGAAGTAGACTGTAACATTCATGCTACTTATGCTACTAGAGCTACCAATAAACTCTTTATACAGAAGATTGGAAAGGGTTTCAAAACTTATATAGAAAAGCTAGATCAAGATTACGATTCTGAGTCTGATTCCGATCTCGAAAATAAAAATCCCGTTGCTACTAATAATGTATAAATCGCACGGTGTACTTTTACTTTTTTTTGTTTGTGTCCCAGCGACG